ACCAGCATTTTTTTTCGTCACGGCGTGGACAGACGCGCAGGCGCGCCGGCATTCGTTTCGCCCGTCGGTGTGAGGCGCGTCATTGTGTGGGTACGGATTACTACTTTTACGAGTAAAAATCTTTACCGAAATAGTAATAATTGCTCTGATTCGTAATAAAAGTTGCTTCGCTCAGAGTATTAATTGCTCGGGACATTTTAAATATTACTCGGCTTTTAATAAAATTTAGATTCCTTGAAGTAAATTATACTTTTTCAAAAAAGTAAAAATCGTTTGAATACGAAGCAGAAGTTACTATTTTTCGAGCAGTTTCAAAATTACTACTTAAAAGTAGTAATTTTTCATCGAAAATAGTATAATTATTACTATTTATTTTTCTCCGTGTAAATATCCAAAAAAGGGATAACTTTGGGGTAGTGCTGTAGAAGGTAGGGGTGGTAAAAATTGGAAGTTATATATGTCAAATTACTTGGCGGAGAGCCCTCTATAAATCCTAATAGCTTAATGTTAACTTTTTAGAAACCCTCGCAAATGATTATGATTTTTCGAAAATTTAAATTTTCCTAATGCATTTCATATGGGAAAATTGAAGTTCTCGGTGGCTCGGTAATATCAATATTTTTTAAAGTAAAAAAATACGCATTTATTTTTATTGTCATTGAAACAAATTGCAGGGGTTTCTTGCTTTTTTCCACTAAAAAAATTTTTGGCCCACCCTAACCGTCATGCGCACCTTTTTAAGGGGTAACACTACCCTAGAGTCAGAAAAAGAGACCTATATCTTTGATGATTTGTTTTGAGAAAATGGAAACTAGAATAGGATTTCTTTTTGGAGGGTTTATTAAATACATATTGAAGAGTAGAAAAAAAAATTTTATTAAAAATTTTATAACAAAATGGCGGCGGTAAATTTCATAGTAAAAATCGACTATTTTTTTACGGCCGGAAAGGTTTCTTGAACAGTTTAAGTCCTAAAACACAAAACAAAGAAATTTTATAATCTATATAATATAAACTTAAAAAGTACATAGGATTTTTTTAATTGGATGTAAACTTTAATTTTTATAAACAATTTACTTTTTATTTCTTGTCAAAAAATTGATTATTTTACTAAAAAAGAGCACCATTTCTACAAAAATTGATATAAAAAAAAACTCCTATGTACTTTTCAGGTTTATATTATATAGATTATAGAATTTCTTTGTTTTCTGTTCCAGGACTTAAACTTTTCAAGAAACCTTTCCGGCCGTTTTGGTAAAGAAAAAAATAGTCGATTTTTCCTATGCAATTTACCGCCGCCATTTTGTTATAAAATTTTTAATAAAAATTTTTTTTCTACTCTTCAATATGTATTTATTAAACCCTCCAAAAAGAAATCCTATTCTAGTTTCCATTTTCTCAAAACAAATCATCAAAGATATAGGTCTCTTTTTCTGACTCTAAGGTAGTGTTACCCCTTAATACTCTTAATTATAACTTGTATTTGATTTTACTGTTAAAATTTGTCTAAAATAAAGAAAATTAAGTTTCAATATAGATAATTGATTAGAAATTTTCCAAGGATTGTGAATTTGAGCTCAGATTTTTTCTATATAGCTGCGTATAGGCACAAAAATGCAAAAACCGTAAGGAAACATTGAAAAAAATCGAATTATCTCACTATTTTGCAAAAATGTGGCTAAAAACTCAAAATACCCAGATTTCCGGAATAATCATCTTAAAGTATGGCTTTTCAACTATGTGTCCTGAAAATTCGAGCCAAATCGAAAAAGGTGTTTTTGAGTTATAAATTTTTTTTAAAAAAGTAGTTTTTTAATCTACTGCGCATGCGTTTTGAAATATCTCAAGAATTCTAACGGCATTAGATTCTTTGGAAAATTTCCCATCGACTAGTACTTTTCCGATTTTCTTTAGACCAAAATTGACATTTTTTCAAGCAAAAATGGATTTTTTAATTTTAGTTTTCAAAAATGGCACTTTTCATGAAATTGAAGATTGTGCTAGATCACTATTTTTGAAGGTAGAATACGCCTAAAAACTTTTATTTTACACTCATAGGAACCTTGTAGAAAACATTAGGAACCTTCTGAATTATTAGTTTATAATCTTTAACGTCCGAGATCCTTTATAAATTAAGGCAAATTAAACGAAATGGTCCGAATGTTTTCGTTTAATTTGCTTTAATTTACTTCTGAATTATTATTTTCTCAACCTATTAAAAACACATTAGAACCTTGTACATTCCTCATTGGGACAAAAACCTATTAAAAAAATAGTAGAACCTAGTTCATCTTACATTGTGTTCCTAGAAGGTTTTTAAGTGTTTTCTAATATTTTCTATGAGGCTTTTTTACCAGGGTCTAATAGCATAACCATGGTTTTCTTTCAATCATATCTCGGAAATAAAAGGAGATACAAAAAAAATTAAATACGGTTAGAAAAATGATTAAATTTTGCGTAAAATAAGCCGTCTTTGAAGTCATTTTGTTAACTATTTTTTGAGTTGTAGAGTGAGAAGGAAAAACAAATTATAAAATTTTCTCATTTTGGTCTCTTGACTTCAACTTTTTCAAAAATCTAGAAAAATTTAGATAACATTTTTTTAAAAACACAGAAATCTTCGTTAGAATTTCATCTTTAAAATAAGTCTTCAAAAATTAAAAAATGTTAATCCGTCTTCGATTCATCATTAAAAGTGTGAAGCCGTGTTGCGACAAATCGGTGCATTGAAATTCAACTACACTGAAAAACTGTTGATAGAACAGTTCCGCTATTGACTGTTGTGCAGCGCAACTTGATGTTTAAACTCACAGCTCAATCAAAATTGGGCGAGTTGCTCTCTTAAACTGGACTACCCAATGGCGTTGAGTGAGCGGCTGCTTGACAGATAGTTCGGCAGCTCTATCAAAAAGGAGAGTTGCTCTACCAAAAAGGAGAGTTACTCTCCCAAAACTAAAGTGAGCTGTGCGTTTCTTTTTAACGCAGCACTTCAGCGCATTGGACGAACAGTTCTGCCAACAGTTTTTCAGTGTGTGACGACTCGATTCTGGCTTCGCGCGGCTGCAAATGGGAAAGAAAGCAGGGACGGATTTATGCTAGGGAATAATAAATAATGATGTTTTACGAAGAATATAATGAAACTCGAAGGTTCATCGTTTTCCCGCATGAATTCGTCCCTGCTTTCTCTCCCATTATTCGCATCCGCGCAAAGCCAGAATCGAGTCGTTACAGTTGAATTCCAATGCACCGATTTGTTCACATTCTTAATAATAAATCGAAGACGGATTAACATTTTTTAATTTTTGAAGACTTATTTTAAAGATGAAATTCTAACAAAGATTTCTATGTTTTTAAAAAAATTTTCTCTCAATTTTTCTAGATTTTTGAAAAAGTTGAAGTCAAGAGACCAAAATGAGAAAATTTTATAATTTTTTTTTCCTTCTCACTCTACAACTCAAAAATAGTTAACGAAATGACTTTAAAGACGGCTTATTTTACGCAAAATTTAATCATTTTTCTAACCGTATTTAAGTTTTTGTTGTATCTCCTTTTATTTCCGAGATATGATTGAAAAAGTGATGGCATCTTTTTTTATAGAGTCGCGTGTAATCGTCCTGATACTCTTGGACGGTAGTGTATTTTATTCAAAACATATATTTTTAACCACTTCAGCGGCGTGGCGTTCCACTTCCAATTGGCGTCGCTTGAGTAGGTGACAGAAGCGACAATAAATGCGAAAATGGCGTTCCTATTTAAACTTTATTTCTATACTCTATAAACAAATTAAGTTTACCAAACCAAATGTTTTTAATTATTTGAGATTATGAATCTTAAATTGATTTTCAAAAATTCAAAAATAGTCAGATCCAATATTGTGAACCACTTTGGGTGAATGTTGGAACGCCACTTGTAAAAAGTATTGTATAAGTATATAAATATATATTAATATATTAATAATAATAATATTAATATAATATAATTAATATAATATATTAATAATATTATTAATATTAATATTAATATTATTTATTTTTATAATATTTATATAATATTATTATATTTATATATAATATATTTATTATTAATGTACACTGAGAAAACTGGAGTGTCAAATTCGGAGGTTCAAAAAGTGTATGTTTCCTTTGCTTATGAAGAGAATTAAATAGTCCTTCTAAAATAAATTTTGAATTGATAATGGAAATCTACTTGTATATTCTCTCCCATTATATCTGAGGGTTAAAAGTTGCGCAGAAAATGTGTACGATCTGATGCGCGCGAAATTATTTTTCTGACATTTTATGTATTTAATTTAGGGGTTAGGTTGCCATATTTATTCATTTCGCGCCGGATAAGGAAGGGATTTCTCAAGATGGTTAATTTGTCCCTCTGTTATAAACTCATTTTCCCTCCAAGAGAAATGGCACGAATATCTGTCAATGGTGTATTTGAACATTTAGATTGTTATCCAATAGCTAACTCTCAAATATCAACGATTTGTCCCTCCAGATGTTTAGTCCAATACTCCAGTTTTCTCAGTGTATATATTAATTGTATAAGTATATTATAAAAATTGGCTACATTAAAACCCTTATAAAACTATTTGACACCTCGAAAAAATAATTTTTTCTTGTCCTGTTCGTCTTCATTTATCTCAAATAATAAGAATATTTGAGTTTGGCAAGTTTAACTTGACTACAGACTTTTGAAATCGAGTTCAAGTAGGAACGCCATTTTCGCACTTTTTGCCGGTTCTGCTACTTACTCATGGAACGCCATACCGGCGAAGTGGTTAAAATATTTAACGAAAATATATGTTAAAGGGGACATTACATAGTTGTCATTTTAGTAGTATCATGAAATAAGATAAGAAACCCACATTAGTGCACACACTAAATAGAATTTTATTTTTCTGACAATTGAAATAAGATTTTATCAACAGGAGGCGTCGACATGTAGATGAAGAATAAGTAACATATTTAAATAATTTTAATAATTTGCAGTTAAAACCACGAGAGAAACTAGCTTTGCAATATAGTGAAACTCTGAAAGCTAAATATGGATCACATCCTCATGTACGACGAATCGCTCGTCATAGACAAGTGCCAAAGCATATTTATAATGCACAAGCTGAGGTTCGAAAATCTCGAGAAAAAATTGCACGCAAGTATGTATTATTTATGAACAAAATTTTCTTTCAATTATTTCATTGTACAATTTTTCCTTTAATGTATAAATTTAATTTTTAGGGAGTCAAATAGAAGAATTCATTCAAAGAAAGGCGAAGTGCCATTTACTGCAGAAAGACAAAAACACGTGGTTGCAGAAGAGAAATAAATGCAAATTTTTTTAAATTGAGAAGTGCAAAATTTTCACTATTTTTCATTATGTATGTGTAAAAATATATAACAAACTTTTTGACAAATGCCGACGTAATTTTTTGACTGCTCGGTATGTTACTAATTTACTAATTTTTTTGGAAATAGTTATTGCAAAATGGAATTTTTATTTCTCTAAAACTAATGAACCAATTTAAATGTATTAAGCTTGAATTCAAAGGGGATGGAATATCTATTTAGAATTAGACATTTTTAAAAAAGTATTTTTTAATAAATATTTAATAAATTGTTTACAAATAATTTTTTTTAATTAAAGGAAATGAATTTATCATTCGGTAATTAAATATTAAAATTTATTTAATATTTATTTATTTGTGAGATTGATCTTTCCATAAAATCAATTATTTTAAGAAATTTTAATAAAATTATTTTCCAAAATTCAATTATTTGCAAAATTTTTTAAAAATTCTCGTCAAGAATTGAGTTATTTTTATAAATAGGTAGCAAAATTCTTCTCATGAAATCAATTATTTTTAAAAATTATGATAAAATTCTTGAAAAGTTTTCCATCATTTTCAAAAATTGTGATAAAATTATAGCGTGAATTTTTAGAAATAATTGAATTTTAACCCTGTAAGTTCATAATTAAATAAATTTATTGGTGTAAGTCAGTACATAGGGGAGACTGGGGTAAACCCGCTCACTTTTTTTCAGATCGGTAAAAATCTAGGAAATTATTCTCTAAATCCAAGTTAATTTATATCATTTGAAAGCTTATGATTTCTACTAAAAAAAATAAAAAAGATTTTTTGATTTATCTTTTTTAGTTTTACTTAGAGAAACTTTTTAATTGATCATGAAATCCTTCTTAAAAAGCTAAAGTTACTGGGCATAGGCCCTAATATTGTTTCTTGGTTTCGTAGTTACTTAATTGCCAATTGCCTGTGTGTCCGTGTGGATGGTGTTTACTCTAAGATGTTTACGGCAACTTCTGGTGTCCCCCAAGGATCTCACCTGGGTCCCTTATTATTTCTTTTATTCATTAATGACATAAATTCTGCATTTAAATTCTGTTCTTTTTTACTTTTTGCTGATGATCTGAAATTATATATGACTATTGGTTCTCATGATGATTTTTATAAATTTTCAGTCTGACTTAGATCGTCTTCATCAATGGTGTATTAGTAGTAAATTTCATTTTAATATTAACAAATGTTCTGTAATTTCCTTTTCTAGGAAAAAAGTTACTATTAATCATGATTATAAGCTTGATAATTTCTCTTTAACTCGAGTGACCCAGGTGAGAGATCTGGGAGTTGTCTTCAGTGATGATTTGACCTTCTCTAACCATATTACTGTTGTTGTAAACAAGGCTGTTCGATTATATAGGCTGTTCATTATACGAAATGCATCAAATTTTAGAAGTTTAATTTCCTTTAAAGTTCTATACTATTCCTTTGTTTTATCAATCCTTGAATTTGCTTCTGTGATATGGTCTCCTTTTTACCTCATTCACATTGTTAGACTTGAAAGAGTTCAAAATCGTTTTTTGCGCTTTGTTGCTAGGCAACTTGGTATTAGTTACGACTTTTTTCACATAACTATGATGCTTTACGTTCACAATTTAAAATTCCTAAGATACACACAAGGTTTCGATATAATGACTTGCTTTTTTTGTTTAAAATTATAAACGGCATCGTGTACTGTCTTAGAATTCTCTCTCAGGTTAATTTTTATACTCCAGTTAGAGTCTTAAGAGGCTATAATTTGTTTTATATTAAAAAACATAGAACTAATTATGGAAAGAATTCTATTATTACTAGACTCTGTAGGCAAGCGAATCTTTGTCCTAGTAGCCTTGAATTTTTTGATATAAAAATAGAGAGATTTGTCGACGCATTACGAGCAATTGTCTTAAATGAAAATTTATAATTACAATTTTCTGTACTGGCCGATGTTTAATTTATAGAATCTAGATATTACTCATATGTATCATATGTATTATATTATGTAAAGGGTATTTTTCACCCGTTTATCTACTAAATAAATAAATAAATAAATAAATACACCTATACCAAATTTGTAAATTACAATTTTCCAGGGTAAACCCGCTCACTTTATCTTTTCAAGACGGAACATTTTTATTTTTTAAATATTAAAATTTGTCTTATTCCCGTCTTAAGTATGATTTATTATTGATAAACTATGAGTTCTATAAACAATTATATAAACAACAAATTGGTTTAATAAATAATGAATATAGGTTTCATGAATTACAACTATGGATTTAAATAATGTTATATTTTATTAAGAGAAAGTGAAATGTAGTTACAATTTTGGTTTTAACAAGTCATAAATTGTGTTATTGTTAAAATATAATCTTGAAATTATTTTATTCTAAATTTTAAATTTAAAAAAAAGTGAGCGACTTTACCCCGAGTGTATTCCTCACATTTCAGAATAAATTTAATAAAATCTTTTTCAAATAAGACAAAACTATATATGTACTTCGAAGAAGGACATCCAATAGCAACAAAAAAAATTTGTCAAATAAATTAAGACTCAAAAATAATGATCGAAAAACTAAAAAATCCGAAAAAGGTTTTTTTTGTGACACCTCTAAAAACATTTGATTGAAAGTTTGTTAATATAAGTTGAATGTTAAGTACTATTCACAGTACCAATATTTCCATCTTAAGTTGAGTTCATAGCGTCAAATCGCTAGTGAGCGGGTTTACCCCAGTCTCCCCTATACAAAGAATTATGATTGTTTTTAAAATGTTTTATAATAAATCGTGCATAAATGTTAATCATGAATATTTGATAAATATTTTCTATCGTTGAATCTTAAGTTTTCTTGATAATTTGTTCTATTTTAATTGAATTTAATTAAATTATAGACTTAATATTGAGACAAGGAAATCGTGAGCATTACCACCTACCGTGTGTTGAGAGCGGCTGTCTTTCTCTACACAATATGTTATCGACACTTTACATTAGAAGAAAAAATTATTACTTTAATTAATGTTTGCATTGTTAATATGCAATAATATTATCAATACTTTAAGGGGACATTCGAGTTCAAAACAGGCAAAAAGAAGGCTTTTTTAGTATATATTATTAAAATAACTATGACATTTATTTAAAAAATTTCTTTTACATGTAATAAATAATTTATTTAAGAATTTGTAAAAACAAAATTTTTTAATTTTTATTTCAAAATGGCGGCGATATACGCCATTTTCGAAAATGCCCATTTTCAGTGGTAAGATCGATTCCAAACTTTCTAAAACAGATAAAACCAAAAACGAAGTGACATTCTCTTCGTTAGATATTTCTTTAGGTGAGGAACCTGAAAAAAGTGGAATTTTCTTCCCGCCCTTTTTTTAGAGTACTTTTTCCCCAAAATATGCAAAAAAAGGTTTTTTTCAGAATTTCTCTTATAAAAAAAAGGGAGTTGGAAATTTTTCAGTTTTTGAGGTTCCACTCAAACACAGACGATGAATCAAATGCCGTTTGATTTTTTAAAATCGCTTTAGAAAAACTCGAGATATCACTCTTACCAGATCAAAAAAAGACATTTTGAGAAAAACGCATTTAAAATTTTTGTTCATAAGTTTCGAATTTTTTTTTAAAAAATCATCGGATTTGCTTGAAAATCGTTACTCGGGGGTTTTTGAGGTAGCTAATTACGAATATGGAATCAGATTTTTAAAATTCAAAATGGCGGACATTTTTTTTTCAAAATCATTGGATTTGCTTGAAAATCGTTACGGGGGGGTTTTTGGGGTCACTGATTACGAATATGACATCATTTTTTCAAAATTAAAAATGGCGGATGCAATATGGTAGACGAAAAAAAATTTAAATAAAAAAATTTTCTTTTCCGACATATTGGATCCGACATTTTGAATTTTGAAAATTTGATATCTAATTTGTGATCAGCAACACGAAATACATTTTTGTTTGTCTTTTTTAAAAAATGCAAAATGAGAAAACATTTAAATCATTCGATTGCTTATCTGCATACAAAAACATCTTTGACATGGCGAAGAATAAGGATGTATAACTTTTGTTTTACTTCGAATTTTGAAATAATATTTTAGGAGAGTATTTTTAACACTATAAGAAATCCGAAAATAAAAACAAAAAAAAATCGATTTTTTTGACATTTTGAACTGGAATGTCCCCTTAAATATTTCAGAATACATATTGGCTGCTTTTTTAACATTTTATACTAATTTTCATTGAATATGAATAAATTTCACACACTATTTCAACTGTCAGGTTAGCACTTTTACACATTAATATTTAATTATTCACATGATTTATCCTAATTATTGGATAAATTAACACTTTAATACTCCATTTATTATTTTTAATAGTTTATTTCAACATTTTATGCTTTTTTATTAAGATTTTCGACCAAAAACCGAACGTCTACCCAATTCGGTAGACGTTTAGTGAAACCCGTCCGCCAGGGACCGACCTAAAATTGATAGAAAAAGGAAGTTCTATAAAAAATTTCAGATTACATTGGACAAAATGTTCGCATCTTATAGCTTCTGTTGTTGCTCCAGCTTTTTTTTAAAAGATCTTGTACGTGATGTCCGCCTTTTTTCAGGACAAAACAGATGGTAAAATACTCGAGAAATTAATTTCTCTCAGTAAAACGCGATGGCTCGTATGGACATCGATGACATTTTGCGAAAAATGCATTTGTTTAAAAACAAATACGTATTTCACTAGATTTTGAGCTGCAGAAACTAATGCTTTTTTATTTTTTGATCTATCTCAAATCTGGACCTAGTTAGAGTGTCCACCGCACGGCGATAAATTTTTAAAACACTCCGCCTTATCATCTGTCAGACCGATATTTTTGAAAAAAAAAATATTTTTTGGCAGTTCAAGAGTAGTATAAATGCCCTACTGTATTTTAATTTTCTTTAAAAAATTTCTATTCTTCAATAAAAATGGTTGAAAATAAGCTTAAGATCATTATAAAGCGTTCATTATTTTAGAAGTTATTCAAATTTTTGTAAAACATTGAAAATGAAGATTTTTTAAAAATATCTAAATAAAATACTGGCCAAATGACTTCTGAAAATGTTAGTTTTTCATTTTAACTCATTTTCCTCTATATATTACTTTGCTTAGTTTTTAATAAGTTTTTTTTATAAAACGCACATGATCTTATAGAAAAAGTACCGAATAATACTTGTCTCTAACAAATTAATCATTATTTTAATCGCCAAAAAGTATCTATCATAAGGAATTTCGTTTATGTAATACATCCAACTGTTTAAAAAAAATTAGTTTCAATGACAGAATTGCAACTTGACACTTCAACTTTTGTTGAGAATGAAATGACCCGTATACATATATTGCATTAAACATAATGGACCTTTGTAAAATTGATTATAAAGTTTGGTCTCATGAAGGAAAATTAATATATTCATAAGATTTCTTTTATTTTTGTGCAAATTTAAAAAAAATATTTATTAACCTACACGACACTTAATAAAGTTTTTTAATTGCGTTTGTACTCATAGTTTAAATACTATTTTATAAAAACTTTCAGCTATGTAGAAGCTCTCAATTGTTTTTAATTTATTCATTAATATTTTCAGATTGCGTGTCATCTCCTGACTTGCTTGAATCACTTGAATTATTTCCTGCTTCGTTGTTTTTCTTAATTAACTTTAACATCTGAATTTCTTTAAGTTTTCCTTTTTTCTTTAATCGTTTATTTCTTCTTTTCATTGTAGCTTCTTCTGCCTTTTTTTTATTTTCCGCCAATTTTTTATGATGTTCTTCATCAAGAAGGTCCTAGAAAAAAATGGTAAACTTAAAAAAGGTATAAATATTTAACTAAAAGTTAATTCATTAAGGTTTTAGTTTGTAAATTCTTTTAAAAATTATGAATGTCAAATCTATTTCTACATAATAATTTAACTCTTTTATAGAATGTTATCAGAAAATAAAAATTTTAGGATCTAAAATATTTATCCTGCCTTTATAATAAATTTTTATTGTTATTGAAACAACTTTTTTAATCCATTTAAATGTAAATTAAAATTTTTAAAGTAAATACAAAATTTGTACAAAGTAATTATCAAAAAGTACCTATTAATGAATGAAAAAAGAAAGAATTGAGGAACTGTATCGAAGAACTCGCTCGACGCGCGAGAAAAAGGGATAATTCCAGTCAGGTAGCAGTGAACGGCCCAGAGGCCCTCACTGCTACCTAACTGGCACACGGAGAGAAATTTCTGCTAATATTCACCGTGCTGCCACCTGAAACTGTGTTCAAAGTGCATTTTGGCAGTTTTTACTGTGCTGCTTCCACAATCTGTAATGCAAAATTATATAGAGAGCACAGTAAAAACTGCCAAAATGCACTTTGAACACAGTTTCAGGTGGCAGCACGGTGAATATTAGCAGAAATTTCTCTCCGTGTGCCAGTTAGGTAGCAGTGAGGGCCTCTGGGCCGTTCACTGCTACCTGACTGGAATTATCCCTTTTTCTCGCGCGTCGAGCGAGTTCTTCGATACTGCTCCTCAATTAATTACATTGCGATTCATTAGATTTTTCAAAAATAGGCCACAACAATAATAAAATGAATATATAGTGGAAATATATGCGTACGTCCGCATGAAAAGGTATACGCATAAGTATACTAGCCAGGTTAGAAAGTGCGGCAACCTCGCAATAATTTTTAAAATATTATATCTTTTAAACGAAACGGTTAATATTGTTAAATATTGTTCTAAATTTTTCAAATATTCATTTATAATATATTAGTTTTTTAAAACAATCTATAGAACATTTTATAAGTTATTAGAAGAAATGTGCCGTTTATATGCACTCTTTAAAGGTTAAATAATAAACATGTTATATGTTAAATAATAAACTTTTAACTGAAATATCTTGTTTTAGAAACGGTCAATTTTTTTTTAATTTGGAAATGCGTAGATTATGTTATTAACTATTCAGATTTTAAATTTCATGGAATTAAGATGAAATTAATAGGTTTAGAATCCCCCCTCCTCTATTATGAAACTTTATTTAGTTATTTGAAGTAAAGAAATGAGAAAAAGAACGTAAAAAAATTTGTTAAGTGACTTTATTTTGGATAACTTGAGAAATATAAAAAATTTAATCTCCAGAAAAACAAAAGTAAAGATTATAGTATAATGATGATATTCCCTTCCGAAATTTTTTATATTAAAAGTAAGTAGGAAATTCGATCCGTGGAAGGTAAAAGTATAGACATATTGGTTTTATGTCATATTTTTATTGATGTCAAATAATTAGAAAGATAGCGATGTTTCGATGACTTGGTTTGTCATCATCATCAGGCTAGGCCTAAATAAATAAACAATAAATTTACACCACAAATAAAGACGGAAAATAAGAGGGAAAAGAAAAAAATATAAAAATTAATTTAAAAGTTATTTACCACATCACGAAAACACGTTACTTATTAAATTCGCACAGTTATAACTGGCACGTCGAGTTTTGAAGAGCGTTTCGTCAAGTCTAAAATCGTTTTACAGAAAGATAGAACTATAGATAAATTGGAGGAGTCAATGAACATGTAAACAGCACGTGGCGATGACAAGGTGACAATATTTTGAAGAAAGAAATCAATCATGAATTTAATTTGCTTATTAAGGGAAAATAAATTTTATTTAGGTATAAAATATCCTCTTTTTTATTAATTGTATGTTTGTTAATTTTTATGTGAAGCATTTCAGAAAAACATCGTTTATTGAAATTTGGTTCACGATCAAGAATTTTTGCATTTTCCCAGTCAAATTCATGATTGAATTCAGATTGATTGTCTATACTTTTACCTTCCACGGATCGAATTTCCTACTTACTTTTAATATAAAAGTAAAGATTGTAATGCGAGTTTCTCTGGTTCTTTTAGGAAATTACTCGAGTGAGTAATTTTAAGTCAATTACACATTAAAGATAAAAAATAAATAGGTTTCAACTTACTCTTTGGCCTTTCTCTTGAATAAATTTTTGGCGTGAGTATTCTTTTCGTCTCAGATGTCTATAAACATGAAACTCCCCGCTTCCAGCTCCAGCACTACTACCCATTACATTGCGAACAAATTCTGGTATTGATGGTGAGTTTTTTGCTTTAGGTTTCTCAGGTATTAAAACTGGCTTTTCCTAAACACAAAGTTAACAAACATTAGAATACACCGGCACACAAAAAAAAATTTGTATGCGAAGAGTACCATATGGGCACTTACACGCCTTACACGCCTCGTAAGGTGGTGAAGTCTGATAAATTTATTTGCATGGGAATTTATTTACTTTTTATATCTTAAACAGGCTTTTCGCATATTTTTACTATTGATTTTAATTCCGTGACTCTAATTACATAAAAATTGAATACATAAAAGAAATTAAAAATGGTGGATACAAAATAGCGGGTTTTTTTAAAAAAAATTGTTCGGATTTTCTTGAAAATCGGGGATTTCGGGGGGTGCTCGGACTAATGCTCGGGGGTTTTCGGGGTCGCTAATTACGAATTTGAAGTTGGTTGTTAAAAATTAAAAATGTCGAACCCAATATGGCGGCCAAAAAGTTAGAAATTAATCAGATTCACTCGAAAATCATTACGGTGAGGTTTTCGGGGACGTTGAAAACGAATATAATGTCGGTTTTTAAAAATTCAAAATGTCAAATTTAAACCAGTTTTAATCTTTGTTTCTTGAATACCTTATCCTCTTTGATTTCATTTGCACCAAGTGAAAATATAAATCCCCTACTGTTTGGATAGAACCGAAAAATCGAAAGGATTGTTATTTTTGTAACACAGAGTTGACCCAGAGTTAAGAAATGTATGCAATGATCAAGATGAAGATAAGAATTTGAATTTCGAAAACCTAGTGGACATAGATGCTAATTGTAAAGACAAAAATGATGATGATGATGATGATGATGATGATGATGATGATTATACCTTTTAGTTGGATTAAATCCGGATTGTTGCAGACAATTTTCGGATTCTTAGCTTACAGATTTCGGATTGTGTCGTACTTCTTTCGGAATAGGATTTTACCACACTTAATTTCAAATTGTTGCGGAATAATACCGGATTTATTGCTTACAGAGTTCGGATTGCTCCGGACATTTTGCGGATTAGGTTTTTTTTAACTATATTAAACTCGGATTGTTGCAGACTGATTCCGTATTCTTTACATATTGATATCGGATAATTCCGTACTTATTTTAGAATAATTCTTCACCGTTCATAAATTTGGATTGTTGCAGACCAATAACGGACTGAATTCGTAGACATTCAGGATTACTCCGGAGTGTTTTCGGACTCAGGTTTTCGTTCGGATTTATATCAGACTAGCGCTGATCATTTTCGGACCTTTTTCGTACAATTTCCGGACTAATCCGTACTAATCGGTCCGTATTTAATCCGGAATTAGTCCGAAATTTTTACGAGGGTTGTCTATACATAATTTGTTACAGCCGGGTGATACAAAAACATTCCCGGAATGCGTTTTAACAAATTTTAATTTTTTAATTAGTTATAAACAATTAAACTTTAAAGCACCTTTTTAGAAAATTTACTATTTCTTCGTTGTTTTTTGATAAAATTTAAAAATATTTGGCAGAAATGTACAAAAATACTGTCTCTATTAACCCCTTCACAGTGTTTGACGTCTATAGAGGCAAAAATAATTCGTGCCCCCAGTGTGTATGACCGCTATAGCGGCATCGAAAAAAAAGATATATAAAAGTTAACAAATCTTGCTAAAAATGTCTACTCGGGGGTTTTCGGGGTCGCTGAATCCAAATCTGTTATTGAAAATTTTAAATTCAAAATGGCGACCAAATTTTTTTTAAGTTTACGAATTTGGCTGAAAATGCTCATTCAGGGGTTTTTGAGGTCTCTAAATCCAAATATTTAGTCAAAAATTTAAAATTCAAAATGGCGGCTCCAAAATGGCGACCAAAAAAATTTAACAGTTTACGGATTTGACTAAAAATGTTTACTTGAGGGTTTTTGGGGTCGCTGAATTCGAATATTTGGTTAAAATTTTTAAATTCAAAATGGCGGCTTCAAAATGGCGACCAAAATTTTTTTCAAGTTTACGAATTTGGTTGAAATTGCTCATTCGGGGGTTTTTGAGTTCTCTAAATCCAAATATTTAATCAAAAATTCAAAATGGCGGCTCAAAAATGGCGACCAAAAAAATTTAAAGTTCTCAAATTAGTTCTTAAAACTTAAAGCAGAGGAATTAATATGTCCGATGTTTTAAAACATTGTGAAATACTCAACATCGATCTATATTAAAAAATTTAATAATAGTAATTAAATTAAATAGTTCGTGACTCCGGATTTGACTAAGAGCGGTGTTTTAAATAGTTCGTGTAAATATATATAAATATAAAAATATAATATATGTAAAATATATTATACATATATAAAAATATAAACCCCAAAAGACTCAAATAACTATTTATAACCACATTCGTAAATTTTTAAATTTTTATTAAATTTGAAAGAAGTTAACAATTTAGTTGACATCTTGAAGTCGCAATTTCGAATTATAAAATTTTAACCAAATATTCTAATTCAGTGTCTCCAAAAACCCCCAAATGCTCATTTTTAGCCAAATCCGAAAACTTTAAAATTTTTTCGGTCGACATTTTGAAGCCGCCATTTTGAATTTAAAAATTTTAACCAGATATTCGAAATCAGCGACCCCAAAAACTCCCTAAGTGAACATTTTTAGTCAAATCAGAAAACTTTTAAATTTTTAAAGCCGCCATTTTAAAGCCGCTATTTTGAATTTTTAAATTTTAACCGAATATTCGAAATCAGTGACCCCAAAAGCCCCAAAGTGAGTATTTTTAGTCAAATACGGAAACTTTTAAATTTTTAAGCCGCCATTTTGAATTTTTTAATTTTGATCAAATATTCGGATTCAGCGACCCCGAAAACATAAAATATAATAATACTAAGTAATTAAAAAAAAAATTTTTTTTGCACATTTGTGGCACGAAAAGCTTATTTTGACTACACTGCTAAGGGGTTAATAACAATAAAAATTTTTTAAATTCATAATTATTTATGCAAAATAAATGGTTAATTAATTAAACAATTAAGGTTTTAAGTGACTTCTGGACTGGTTGCGAAAAAATTCAAAAACTACTGAAATCTATTTTTTCTACTCTTTAATTTCCTTCTTCCTTTTGCAATAATATTTAATTAACGTTCGTATTGTTTGAAAATATATTCATTGATATTTTGTACAAGAGTAAAAATTCCTGAAGTGTAACAGCAAATTTTGAGGTTCATTGTATTTACTTGGTAATACATGAAAATGAAACATAATTATGAAATAATTAAATGCCTAGAAGGATTTTTCAAAAAAGTTAAATTTCACTTAGTTATAAACAATTAAAGTTTTTTACAGTGTTTTATTAAAAAATTAATATCTCGGAACAGAATAAACGAATCGTTATAAAATTTGGTTTGTATACTCAGAAAATGATGTAGTTTCAAATAAAATAATTAAAAAATTAAATTGTTTAATTTTTGTAATTGTTGTTGGAAATTTAATTGTTTACTTATAAAATTAACAATGTTCTTAACGTCGTAGGAAGTTTGTTCAAATTTCACCGTAAAGGATATTTTATAACGATTCCATAACCGTATGAAAATTTAGTGTCTTGCAATTAGGAGCAAAGTTAATAATAATTTTCTTCTGCCAGGCGGCACGTTTGTTTACCGCGCGACACACTGTAGTATGAATCTCCAATTTTCTGTTTAAAGAACTGTAAAACCCAGAGATATTGTCGAAACAATAAAAATAAATTTTTAAGAAACTTAGGGAAGCACTTTTTATAATTTCGATTTTTTATTATTACCTATTATTTTAATGCAAATACACGGGAAAAAAAGTACGTGAAATTTTCATTGACTCGGTACTTGACTTTTGGATACGACACAAAATACTAGAAACAGTCTAGTACTTTTGCATGGAATCACTTTTCGACGTTTATCAACACTTATGAACTAACCTATAACACACACATATCTTCGCGTATAACTTAAATATAAACACACACTTAACACTTGAAAGTACGTATCGAATTTTTCTTATATACCACATGGTGAAATTTTTCACGACTTGTGAGACATGCTATTTCACTGAAAACTAAAACTTACATAACATTCTGTTTTGTGAGAAACACAAAATAAAAAATATTTTTTTGATAGTCAATTCTTGAAGACATATATATGTTAACACTATTTGTTTTTCATAAAATAATAGTATATTCACATCTGAAATTAACACAAATGGAAACAGACGATCAGCTGTCATTTACCTTGGATATTATGGACATTTTTCATAGTTATTTTTCATAATGAACAATTCATTTGTTAACTTTATTTGTTTATATCATAAACAAATAATAAACTATGAAAAATGTCCATAAATATTATTGGTAACATAATTTTAGAACGGTATCAACTCTACACATTTTAATTGTATACAGTGCAACTGTACACCGTCAATTCTATACAGTTCAACTCTATACATACGAATTTTGAAAAAGTTTAATTTTAACTCTACACAGTTTAATTAAATACGCGTTAATTGTGCACTGTTCAACTCTATACAAATAAATTTTTAATAATTAATAACGTTTAACTCTATACAGTGCAATTGTATACAGATTAATTTGATAAATTTTAACCCTGTAAAAAAAGAAGTATTGAGTGGAGCGTTTAGGAATTGAGTGAAGCTCTGAGCCAATACGGATTCGAGTAAAAACCGTATTGGGACGTTTGACTCAATCTTTTTTTCATCCGCCGAATACGGTCTTATTTTAGCATTAAAATTAAAATCACATGACCAGAGTACACATTATAAATTGAAAGCACAATTGTCCTGGAATGTAAAAATGCGAATTTCAATAAGAAACAGTGAATATTTGTTAAAAATTGGTAAAAGCAAAGTTTGACAAGCGCGACTGAATTTACCATGTGAATAAATGAAGTGGTAAGTTTAAATGGACGAAAAGATATCTACTGTTACCGACAGAAAGTTCCTAGAGAATTGTAAAACAATGAAATTTCATTGTTTTGTTGAATTCACCACAATTCTCTAGGAACTTTCTGTCGGTAAAAGTAG